ACATTGCTGTCCCTGGAGGAAATGGGGGCAATCGCTGTCCTAAGGGGAAATGGTTTGAAATTCAGGGAGGGAAGATTTAGGTTGAATGTCAGGGGGAAGTTCTTTTCTATGAGACTGGTAAGGTGCTGGAACAGCTGCCCAGAGAGGCTGTGGATGCCCCGTCCATCCCTGGAGGTGTTCAAGGCCAGGTTGGATGGTAGCCTGGGCTGCTATGAAATGGGAAGGTTGGTGGCCTGCCTGTGGCAGGAGGTTGGAACTTCATGATCCTTGAGGTCCCTTCCAACCTTGGCCATTCTGTGAGTTCAAGAACTGTGGAGATGTGGCACTGAGGGACGTGGTCAGTGGGGATGTGTTGGGGTTAGGCTTGATGAGCTTAGAGGTCTTTTCCAACCTTAATGATTCTATGATGGTAGGGATGGATGCTTTTAGCACTGACAAACATGTTCATGGAACTCAAATGGAAGTGGCCTGAAACCTTGCTTCAAAGCTGAAACACTGTGTGTCTTATGGACAGAGCACTTGTTTCTAGATAACCAGTGCTATCTGATATATTCAGTGTTGTTTAATATGAGAGCTGGGAATTTCAAGCTGAGCATTTGAACAAGAAGTTACAAGTCTGTTCAAATGATCTGCACTTCTTTAATTCTCTGTAAGACAGGCGGATGTTTTGATCTGTTGCAAGTGGTAGGAAGTGGGATATAGGAGGTCACGAAGGCTGTAGTACCATTTGTAGGAATACCCATGCTATAAACTTGTTAGAGCTGCCTTTTGCTTCAATACAAGGCTTGTGCTGCAGAGAGCTGTTTACTTGGAAGATGCCAGCAGCAGAACATTTTAATTGTTATCAAAGTATCCAGAGAATGTGTTTTTATTTGTAATCCACTAATATTGCAAGGCTTAAGAGAGCTTATTACTAACCTTAAAACAGGAGACTTAAAATGGGTTATTAAGAGATCTGAGAAGCATCTCCTGCAGGAATTTAATAATGGGAGATGGCATGGTAGGGCTTTGTCTGTATTTGTTGTTAAATGCAAATGTAAAAATGGTAAGAATGCAGGAAGGATGCCCGCTTCTTGCCTGATGCTTCCCACTGTGGGTCATCTTAATCTGAAGAACAAGCACCTCATGCTACATCAAACTCAATGTCCTACCTGTTAGAAATGCTGTGAACTTCATCTCCCCCTCGGTGCCTCTGAGTCACTGCAATGGCTTCAAGTCAAAGGGCAGTGGCTTGCTTTTGAAATCCAAGCTTGTATCCCTGAGTTTAGAGAAATAAGCCTTGTTTTCCACTTCGCAGCACTTCAATTATTTTGCCTTTGAATTCAGTCCTCTTAAAGAGATGAGGTACTAGTCAGAAGCTCATCTTTGAAGAAGTGACTGTGGTGTCTTGATGCCTGTGCAATTGGGTCATATTTAATAGACATCCTTGGCAGGAATTAGGTGGGCTGGCAATAGAAATGTTGCTATTGCAGTAAACTCTCTTAAAAACAGCGAAGTTATCAGAAGAGTTCTATGTTTTTTGGCAGATAATTGGTGGTGGCATCTTGTACCTTTGAATGGGAAAAGAAATTGGAGAGTGTGATTGTCCTTGTAGGTATTGGATGAGAGGGAACTTGCTGTATTGAGTACCTTATCCCCTCAGGGTAATGCATTCCCATTTTGTCCTTAGAAGACTGGACTTATGTCTTGCTGAAATGGTTTTGCTTGGATTTTAGTTGTTGAAATCTAAAGGAAAACTTGTGAGTACAGTAATATGGATTTGGTGGCCTGCCTGTGGTAGAAGTGGTGCAGGGAGATAAAACTCCCACCCTGCAATAACCAAGTGCTGCCCGGATGGTCTGTTCCTCCAGCCTGAAAAGGAGCAGGCTCTGATTTATACTGCATGGAAACAATTCTGCAACTCCAGGCAAACCCTGGGGCACTGTGATGTTGATCTTTAATGTATTTGGAGACTTGTCCCTGGCCAGACTATCCTCAGCAAAGCAAATACATTGATTACAGTGGTGTTTCATAACGGCCTCTTGGTTGCGCTTATTTAATTTCAAGGAGTGGAGTTGAGATGGGGAGAGGAAATGCAGTTCTGTGTGTCAGGACGTGGGTATGTGCCTCACTGAAAAGATAACAGCTTTGCTGTCAGTTCTGGACAGCTCAAACCCATTGCTCCAGTCTTGAGCAAAACATGACTAAGGAGCTGAGACCTCAGAAATTAAATTCCTGTAAGCCTTGTGAAAGGAGAGGCATATGGAGTTTGCTGATACAGTTTGCCTTTCTGATGGCTACTGAGCAATTAAATACAGTGGAGCTGGCCTTGGTCTTAGCATAGCTTTTTATGGCATACTACTTTGCTTGTGCCAACAGCTTGAGGGGTCAAAGTGTGGAGCTTGGTATATGTAAAGATATTCCTCCTTCATTCCACTTGGTTAAAAAGTTGAGTGTATCTTGCTGTCTCTAGATGCTCTGAGATGCAGGTAATGTAGTCCTCAATTCACCCTTTCTACTTTCACCATTCCTCCACTTTCTGTGAATATGTTGACCTTTAATTTAGTCCTATAGCTTCATGCAAGTGTCTGAACTTGTGTAAACACCCCTATCACCTTTTGCCTCCTGGGCATGTTCCACACTGTTCTTGATGTCAATATGTGTAACCCCTTCCTTCTGTGGAACTTGTCGAAAGGCTCTGGCACAACTGTTATGAAGACCAAATACCACCAGTGCTGTAGGGCAGTGTGACATAGGAAGATGGCAAATTAATGGGGCAGGACACTGTAGGGTGAACACCCAATTTTTTTTCCTAAATGTGCCATTGCATCTTTAATTACAAGGTTAAGACCTCTGTTTTATGACTCACCTGAACAAACAGCACCTCAAAATAATTGCCTGAGAGCGTTGCCTGGAGGACTATCACTTGTTTGTGACTCGGAGGAATGAGTTCCATCTAATGAAATGGCATTGCCCTTGGTAATCTCACACCCTTGCTCTTCACTCTTCTGAATCTAAGAAGCCACTTGATCACAGACTCCAGTAAAGGGGCCGTGTCAACCCAGGCAATGCTGCAGTTGAAGTTGTTTCTAAAGAAGGTGTCCAACTCTGAAATCCTGCTCATTGGGTGTTATCTGACCCATGGGAATGGGTGTGTTCAGCTAAAGGAAGAGCAAGCAGTGTTTCATTCTGCCTAGTGATGGATGAACACATTGCTTCAGGCTCCCTTAGAAGCCCTAATAGACGTGAGAAATTGATATACTATCCCAGGGGGAAGTCTGACCTCCGTTCCTTGGGTAATCCATCTGCCTAGGCATACTTTGTTTGTTTCTTTGAAATACGTAAATGCAATCATTACACAATAAGAGCCTCTTTAAAAAAAGAAAAACAAAAAAACTTTCCTTTGATCATTAGCATGTTAATCAGCCTGGATGGATCTTCTCCTTCCCTTCCAGGTGGAGGGAAACAATTGACTCATGTAATGGGTGCCCCTTGGCCACGGTGCATTTGTTCCTCTAGCCCATTGTTCTGGGATGAACTTGGAACATCATGTTTCTCTCTTGAACCAGGCATTTGAATTGCCCTTGGATTTGCATGTGATGTTAAATGACCATCAGGGTGTTTCTCCTGGAACTGTGCAGCTCGTGCTGTCTGTTCTGAGCCATCTGAGCCATGCTGAGCTGTAACAAGCAGTGGGGTTGGAAGATGCTGTCGTCAGTGGTGTGACTTGGGTCTGTCTGGTGCACAAAGGCTCCCGGTGGACCAGGATGAATTATATTGCTTGAAAATGTGACAATAAAGGGAAAGGGGAAAAAAAAATCATGCACGTAACCTGTAAGTCAAAAGTTATGGGATAGAAAGAGGGTCTCTGGGAAATATAGTCTCATACCTCAAACGAAAAGCAGGAAACCTAATCTGTAGAACAATAAAGCAGGCAAAACCTCTTTCCTTGTTGGCCCAAATTCATCTCAGGCTTGCGTAGGTAATGTTTGATTAGCCTGATGAAGTGGGGAAAGATGGAGCAGATCTATTCCTCTTTCTGATTGCATTTTGGCTGGGAAGCTACATACAATGAGGTGGCATCTAGGAGTTGCTTAGCAGGGGACTGCTCAGTTGACTCATAAGGCTTGAAACAAAGGGCTTTGTTAACTTGTTATAAAACAGCATGCACCTGTAGGGAGAAGTTGGTATTTCTAGCTGACAGCCTGAATAGTTGAACATTGCTAACAACCAGACAGGGTTGAGATACCAGGCTTGATATCAGGTGCTCCCATGCTGTTGAAATTTCTCTGTGCATGCTAGGCACCCAATTTACCAGCAGTAATTGCAGATAACTAACTTGCTAATAAGCAGAACGTGTTCTAAAATGAATTTCCAGGATTTGGTTGTCTTGCTATGTGTGGATTTGCTCTTGTCTGCTGTCGTCTCCCATTCGTGATGTGCTTGTAAGACCACTTCAGTACGAGTGTTGGTGGCTGCAAAGGTTGCAGAATTCTGGTGCCTGTCTTGAGTACCAAGGACTATTCTGGGGATGTCCTAATGATTAGGAGCAGTGGACTAAGATGTGGAAATCATGTTCTCATCTGAACTTCTTGCTGCACTGAACTGGTTCTCTTTATTGGGATACGGGATATGGACTGGACTTGATTATGCCTTGTGTTTTTTAAAAAGGAGCCTTGTGGATAATTAGCATCTATTATTTGTGCACGCATTTGTTCAGGTTCAATAGGTCATTCTGAGACAGTCAGGCTTGTCCTGATCTTCAATCTTGCTATTTTGTGCTTCCAGCCCAGGTTGTCTGAGACTGCCTGTTTTCATGCAGTAATTGCAATTGCACGAGTTATTCAGGTAAATGCTGAAGTCAATAAACAAAAGGCTAAAGTTGCCACGTTGAGGGAAATCTCTGCCCTTGGTATTTTGGGGCTGTAATTTGGGCTTACAATGAACATAGCAATGAAGTGAAGACGTCCAGCATCACGATGATTCATGTGCTTCCTTTTTTTTTCCCCCCCCCTTTTTAGAATCTCCACCAGCAGCGATGTCAAGGAATGGATACTTCTTTGAAGAGAGTGGCAAGTATTATTTGACTTACTTATGTGCTGTATCACTGTATTGAAAGGAGAGCAAAGAACTTGAAACAGGTGATACGAAATGTGTAGATTAAGGAGGATGTGAATGCAGGCTTGTATGGTGATTGTGTAATCTAGAACTGGAAGCAGACTGCATTTTTATATCCTGTAGATGTTTTTGATATTCAAATTAGTAAATAATCACCTTCATGCTGTCAGCACTGACTATTCAGGGTGGCTTTGTTTTCCCAGTCCTTTTAGGATGGCTTCCTGTATTGCAGTCTGGTGAGTGTATTTATTTCAATCTTCTTGGAGTGGAGAAGAAGCAGAAGTGTCAGATCCCTTTGGAGACATTCTACCAAGAGCATCAAACAAACATGAGAGTCTCAGCAAATGCATGTTTCTGTGCAGAATGCTCTCAAGGATTTTTCTTTGAACTGGCATTAAGTTGAGGCATTTGTAAGCTTGTATCATTTGCCTTAGCAAAGGTGGCTGAGCTCTAAAAGGCATTATAATGGTGAAGGGCAGAAACTGCATGCAGCTGAAGTTGGAAGTGCAGTGAAGTTCCAACTTGTGGTTTTGGGGAAATGCTGTTAAGGAGAGATTGCTTTGAGGTACCAACCCAAGGCCAGTCCCAGTGGCATGTGCTCTCTGAAGGCATGGGATTTCGTGCCCTTAGAAATAGTACTCAAAGCATTCAGGATTTCCTAATGATGAAAGCCAAAGGACTGAAATACTCTTGTTACTGAGGCCTGCAGATGCGTATAGATGTCAGAAGGCTCATCTGTCTTGGTGCAGGGACAAATTTTTAGGTTAACATCTGGGAAGGGGAAGCAGAGTACGTGCCAGATGCAGCTTTGCAGCTGCTGTAGATCCAGCATTACTGTTGTCAGCGCTTTCTCTGGGCTCACCTTCTCTGACAGGGCTATATGGAGCCAATGTCTAGGAGCAAAAGGATGAAACTGGAAGCAAGTACTGTCGGCTCTACCAAGAGGTCCTTTCTGCTAGCTGGATGAAGTAACAGAAGGGCAGAAAACAGTGCCTGACCTTCAGAAAGAATTCAGTGCTCGGTGTTCAGTCACCTTCCACTCCCCTAGTTTAACTGGAGGCTTGTGTTTCTGCACAGGATATACAGAGAACACAGGTTGTAGAAAGGTGGTTGTGTCCATGCAGTTACTAAGGCTGGTACAGACCTCTAAGATCTCCAACACCAACCCATCCCACTGTGCTCATAACCACATCCCTCAGTGCCACGTCTGCATGATTCTGAAACACCTCCATGGATGGTGACCCCACCACTCCCTGGGCAGCTGTGCCAGTGCCTGAGCACTCTTTTGGAGAGGAAGTGTTTCCTAATATCCAACCTGAACTTGGTGCAAAGCAGCTTGTTTGGAAACTGTCATCATTAAGCTGCTTCTTGGCACCACTTGTTTAGCTCAGCCTCTTTTGGCATTCAGACCAACATATGCTCTTTGCCCCACCCTGAAAGTTTCAAAGAACAGAAAAATTAAGCTTTTTTTTTTTTCTTCTTTTAAAACCAAAAACCCCAAGCCGCAAAAAACATACGACTAAAAAGCAAAAACAAAATCAACTCTTCCTTTGGTTTGCTTAGCACTTCTTTTTTCCCCCTCAATGATTGAAAAAAATCTCTTAACACTTTCTCTTTGTGCCGCTGATATTTCTCTTTATCTCCTCGTGAGATCTTGTGTATACATGTGGGTTTTTTTTGTATATTTTATAATAAGGATGTTTTTGTTCCAGGGCAAATCTTAGGCACTATTCAAAGATTATCTTTCCAGCGAATGTTTCTTACTCGTCTTCTAAACAACAACTGCAGCAATGTTAAGGCATAAGCTGAAATTGAAATTTCAGCTTCTAAGGTGTTGTAGCAAGGGTAATGGCTGCTGTGGCACCAACACAGTGTTTTGTAACACACCCCTGGATAGGAACTTAGTGTGGTATTTAGTAATTTGTAGCTCTCTTTATTAGATAGTGAGGAGCTGAGGAAAGCCCAGGAAGGAATTTCCATAGAATGGATGCTGATATATGGCTATTCTGAAAGCTCAGGGGGGTTTTTATGGTCTCCTGGTATGTGTTAAGCATATGAACTTCTTTGTTGTTTTAAAAAAATAGTCTGGAATGATGATCAAAGGGAGCCCATGTGTTTGGGGACAAATTGCAGGTTTATGGCGTCCTCCAGTTTTCAGCTACTGCTAGAGGAACCAAATGGAAAGCTGCTCTGCAGTGGCAATGTTAAGAGGGAAAATGAGGAAATAATTTCATACCTACCCAGTTAGAAGCTTCTGATGATGGAGAGCACGGTGTGACAGCAGGTATGGTGGTATTGTTGGCCATGTTCTGCTTTTGAGTCATGTTTCATCACATTTAATAGCTGTCTTCTGACAACAGAGTCTTGCTGAAAATCTGTTTTCTACTCATGCACTTGTCTGAACTGAGCCTTTCTCACACAAAAAGAACAAAAAATCTGGCACGCTGTGGTAATGTGTTGATGCAGGTTGTGCATTTAAGTCACTTGACTTTTCAGGTTGTTTTCTCAAATGAGTTTTCTTGGCAAATTGAACTAACTAATGAGATGACTGTAGACCAAATCCAAACTTAAAGATAATTGGAATCTTGATGAGAGATGCTGAGCTGCATTTCAGTTTTGAGAATAACTTGTCAAACCCTGCACTGTCTTGTTTCTTGGCCATCGACCTCCTGTGCCCAGATAATGAGGGAATGGGGAGGGTGAGCATCCAGTGTTCACTACGAGTAGATTAGCTCTGAAGGCATCAGTATTAGCTGCAAGCAATTAAGTTCTGCCAGTGTGTGATGAGCTTTTTAATTGACATGAGCGTTCTCTAAAATATGAAACCAAAGTTTTTCTAGTGCAAAATCCCAGGGAAGGAGTCCCAGCGTAGTGCTGGGGATGTTTGAATTGCTGCATTGTTTTAAAGCTGGCTCAACAGTCACTGCAGCATGAATTTTTGTCTTCTCGAGCAAATCCCTCACTGCTTGGTCTCCTCTGACTTATTAATTGGTTTTGCTGGCAGAATAAATTGCAGTTGTGCTGAAGGGCCCCAGTCTGGCTTGGGATGTTTGGATATATTTTATCTATTTGTTTTTGTTTTTCAGCTTGCAGTTAGTTCAGTATGTGTAGTGCATTTGTGTATTTCTAAGATTTGTCTTTGTTTTGGAATTGTTTGCCTGACTAAGAGATTAATCTCTATGCCTTCATGAAACGAATCCTTTTGCAAAGGGTTCCCCTGATGAGAAGTTGTGTTTAAGAGCAGGAGATGTGCTACTGCTACCTATGGATGGAGAGATTGAGAGGATCTCTTGCAGATGTGTTGTTTTTTTTTTTTTTTTTAAGAACTGTCTATCAGGAGGCATAGAATTAAACAAACATTCCTGATTTCTGTGGGTTCGGATACAGAACTGAAATTCCACGTGCTGCTGTGTTTAAAAAAAAAAATTAAATAAATAAAAAATAAAGCCCCACTGAATTACTTGGATTATTCACAACATTTCCTAGAAATCTGGCTGCAAAATACAATACTGGAATTAATTCAAAAGTGCCTTGGTGTTTTCTGTAGCAGATCTGTTCTTTCAGTTCTGTTATGAATTATTACTGAGGAGGCAGGGGAAAGTTTATACTTCCATCTGGCTCTTCATGACAAAAGACAGGCTTGAAATAAGGTTGGAAGTGGGGAAGTGAGAAATTATGGCTGGCCAGTAGTGGAAGTATTTATTATGTGGAGGATGTGTGGTTTTTCTGTCTAGTGACTCACCTGCTAGCCACTACCTTGTTTTAATCTTACCTGAGGAAATTTTGGTTCAATATGTCATCTTGAAGCAGGCTGGAAGCTTAAGCAATGGTTGACATCTACATAGCATGGGGTCATTACTACAAAAGACCACAAACCTGTTCTTGTTGGGATCCTAATAGTTGCTCTGGAGCCAAGAAACATCATCAACACTTCCCCAGATCTTCTGTCTCTCAATCTCTACCTGTAGAGGGAATGGAGTTGGAAGACACTCTCTAAATCCCATGTAAATGATCTAGAGAAGTCAGCATGGACCATCCAGTATTTCTGAACAGCTGTATGCACGCTGACAAAGATGACCTGGTGCGTTCATTCAAATGCTTTGAGGTGTTTTGAATGTATTCCCTAGTGGGGCATCTCTACTATTGTAGTGCACTGAGTTAATTTCACATTTATCCTGTTTGCTCAGGATCAAGAATCATGTCCTCTCCAAAAAAAAAAAAAAAAAAAAAAAAAAAAAAAACACAAAAAAAGGGAAAAACTCCTTGAGCACAGCTACTCTACAGCTCTTCTCCAAGCAGTGTGTATAGATAATGTCTTTCTCCTCTCAAATCCATGCTGGAGGCAGTGGGAAGGTAGGGTATCCTGAATGTAGCACGTCAAGAAACATGGAGATGTGGTACTGAGGGGCATGGTGGGGACGGGTTGGGGCTGGACTTGAGCATCTGAAAGGTCTTTTCCAACCTTAATGATTCCATGTGCCTGTGCTAGCAAAAAGCATTTGGTGTAATAAAGGAGATCTCCTTACACGAGCATAGGAGTCAGATCTGGACCCTTCTTGCCAATTTGTTGTCAGCAAGCCTTAAGCAGTCTAAAATCGTGGCCTATGGACAGCTCCTGAGAAAGTTGGCAGAACCTTTCCACGTGGCTGCTTGCCACAGCGTGGGTAAACCTCCCTCGGCTGAAAATAGTGAGCTTTGCCAGGGGATCTCTCAACTGTGAACCAAAGGAAAAGCTTAATGTTCTAGCAGGCATCCAGCTGTATGCAGAACTGCTCTGTTTAATCAGTGTGGCTTAAAATTTTAATTCTGGAGAGAGCCTTGCATAATGTGAGTTGATAGCAGCCTTCGGAGAGTGGTGTTCTATGGCTACAGAACTGATTTTTTTTCTTTTTTGAAATAATTTGTTAGGAAAAAGGGGTTTTTTTTTTTTTTATGACTGCTTTTCAGACTCCTG